AAGACTTGAAGAGGTAGTCTGTGTTCTTGCAATATTGAATTTCTAGCCATATGTGGTGTTTCTACGGCATTAATGATGCTGAACATCGATCACTTTCGAAATGAATATTTACGTCAAGAATTTAATGCATGTTTCTTTTTTGACTACAGATACCTTTCGATTCATTTTCACATTCTATATTTGTAGCCTTGTTTTCTTTTTCGTCTTTTTATTAAAGCAGACATGTTTAGTGGGTGATGGTACGAGAAAAGAACGACTTTCGAGCAGAAGGCAGAATTTCCTGAGCGTTCACAACAGATGTGAAAGAGAGATATTTTATTTTAAGTATAACATTTAAATGAAATCCGTCGTCAGCTTTTGTATATATCACACAATAGCTTTTCCATAGATCCATTGCCCAATAATTTTGAAAAAAATAACATTTCCAGCTTTTCTGGCCCAACCATCCGAAGCAGCGGTAACATCAAAAGTAAGCGACCAAATCTGAAAACAAATACAAAAATTCTAACGCTTATTGAACACATCATTTCATTTTTATTACCTTTCGCTTGAGCAAGGCTGCTGAATCTGAGTGTATTGAGTCAGCATCCGCAAGGCTTGGTCTTGCAGAATTTCAACCTGGTGAGGATCTTTCAGTCCTCTTGCTTCTAAATGCAATTCTTAGCAGCACTAAGTCTAATTAAAAGCTTATATGCTTATATTTGAAATTAAAAAGAGTCAATTTATAAGCAAATCCCTCTTCATCAAAGCATTTGCTGCAGCCTATGTAAAGGAGGAATTAAACTTTAATGGTCTTTCACCTAGTTGGAGTCTTATACTGGATAATGTAATTACTATTTCTAATTTCCCATTATTCCTTTTCCTTCTCTTATTCCTAAATTTCCTTTTTTCATCCTGTTCATGCTTTATGCTAGTCAATTTTGTTCACTAACTGTCCTTGCTTATGTTTCATTTCTTCGTCACTATGCTTTAATCGTTTATCTAATGACCTCTGTTATTTCTGACTACGATATGGGTTGAAGAAGAAAGGGCTCCACTAATGCTTCACTTAATAAGATGATTTTCCAGACTTGCAACCGTACCTTTCTTAAAAGAGCCTTTTATGTCCTTCCGAACTAAAGTAGTATTAGTAAATTGTTTATTTACACAATTTTGCATGATTTTGTTGGCTATGGCATATGCTGCGCTCCAGATGCTTAAGTACCTTGTTGGTGCCAGCTTGTTTGCATAGCTCAATTGGAAACTAGGAGTGGTAGGACAGGGCAATAAGCTGACAAATCTTGTCTTTGAAAAGATATTCACCTTTAAATGTTCTGCGGCATATGAACCCATATTCTTAGTGTTTAAGCCTCAGAGCAATATGACAACCTGATCTTGAAACAACACTTGTGGTCAGGAAGAGATTGCTACAACGGAATGATGCCAGAAGCATTGCTGAAATCGTTCGTATACTAGTGGCCGTGGAACTGCCTAAATGTACCCTTCCACGTGTCTAGTGACTAACAGCAGAGAACAAAGTATTAAAGCGTAAAATTTTGTATTGAAGAAGCTTTTGCTTATTCATACAATTCATACGGTGATGATCTCCTAATTCGCCTTTACTTTGACTGGCTGATGGCAGCGAACGATGGGGAGGAGGGGGGGTCTACCCGTTGCTAGCACGGAATCCAATACTCTTTGCCACACCATTCACTAGAGCTTGGCTTGTACGAGGAAAAACAAACGGCGGAATGACACAGCTATCGTTCTAGAGGTTAATTGGCTTCTAGACACGCACAATCAAGAGGGGACCTTCTGGTTCTGGAATCTTGTTAACCAATCTTAGGTTCAAGAACAGTATGAGCGAGCCATTTTTGAGTAAGGAAACAGTGTGCCTCGAAGAGTATTATCGAAATGATGTGCGTTCGGTGGAGCCGCAGAAAGACGTCACAGAATTTTGAAGGTTTGTATCTCGAAGTAGTACTTTTGTTTCACATGCAGCAGCGTACCTGGCCGAAACAGCACGATCGCTTTTAAGTAGACGAACTCGGTCGGATCTATGCAGTAGCTGCGAAAACGAGTATGCGAATCTCGCAGGTACTTCAAGTCGCACGGCCTCAAGAAATGTGACGCGTACTGCGGAAGAGTCTGCGCTGAAAGCAGGGGACAATTTTCGATGTTCATGTACCACTGGTACAGATTTAGCAGAAACATATCGCTCCAACTTTCTTCCAGCAGTATAACCTAGAATTGTTCAGACTTGAATGGTTAGTCATTTAGTCAGTCAGTTAGACTACTGCACTATTTCTTTGGAAACTTAAGATTGATTTTAAATTTTACTGTTGATATATTAAACAGTTTTATTACTTGAATCAATCATTTTATCATAGTTCAGAATTTGACCGCCTAATCTTTGGCAAAAGACGTAATAACAACCGTTCTAATCTTTTCAGCACTTCTTTTCTAATGCAGCGGTGTTTCGTAGGTTCAACGATTTCTCTCCAAATTCTGCTCAGCCTCTTTCATTTCTATATTTTACTTTTTGGCCTTCTGCCCAACGACTGTCATGTTTTTTTCCAACACGATTAACTTATGGGCAGGACTAAAAAGATGTCTTAATTATTCACCTAATGCCGATTTTCCTTTCCCAATCCTTTCATATGATCGAGATAGTTGTGCTTGAAAAAAACAGTTTTATTCATTACATAATCCCATAAGCTCTTATAGGTTTTTCAATCATCGTTTCTAACTTTCCTAAAGAATAACAGTTTCTGTGTCGAATAGTGACACGAATCTGCAGAGGCTAAGTGCAATCAGGTTCTCATAGGAAAGAATAGTTCACAGCCTAAATGCTTTACAGACCAGCAAAGGATTTCGAATCAAGCTAAGTCCTTCTACCGTTTAAATCAAATTTGTTGGTTGGCTCATGCAAGTGATGAGACAGAAGCGTTAAAGAGACTCCGCCTACTCCACCATTCCGAATCTTCGACACATATCTGTGTGTATGTATTCCCGCCATCTCGTCCTGTAAGGTTTGCGTTCAGTGAATGATTTTCAGCATATTTAGCAGAAATAAAAGTTAAAATGACCATTTCAAAAAAACATTAATTCAAGACAATTTTTACTGACTAATATGATATATAAAAGTCATGTAAAACGACCACAATTTGAATATTAATGAGTAACTGCAATACAGTTCTCAAGATTATAGCACCTCTGCACTGATATCAATACAGGGCAGATGTAAATCTGTGTAAAGCAGATAACTGCGGCTTTGTATAGCGGAAAAATGACTGTCCTGCATTGGTAACACATGCCATAGAAGACCACAGCGGACAAGACAACTACTTGAATCGTGTTGGCATCATAATCTGCTTATTATTACTTGAGCAGTATTCAATTATGCTAGCTATGCGAAATATCTGTATTGAAAACGAAATCAATTATGGAACCTTCTCATTTAGCTGAAACTTATTGCTAAATAAGCTTATAACACGAAGCGCCAGATTTCTATCATTCTATTTTTCCATTTTTGATGTGTCCTCAACGTTGCATCTTATCCTGTCCCCTCACTTCCGATTTCACATAAACTGAACATATTTTTACATTGCACACGTCTTGATCATGGTCACGCAAATAAATAATAAACGATCTGGAATTCTAGACGGTTCGTTTTAAGTATATTTTTTTGAGCATAGTACCGTTTATTCTGTGATTCCTAGTTATTCTTGATCCGGTTATGAGTTTCAGAACTGACTGGTAAACATGACTGAATTGATTTCTAAGACGCTTCAGTTGTTGATGTTGTTCTTTGTTCATTGTCACCAAAGGCCAGCAGAGTGTGAACCGCCGAGAAACCCAGATTTATGATGTCTTGCCTTCAGAAACGATATCACAGATTAACACTAGGCAATATTCAGTGCTGCGGAAGTGGCCATAATTTTTTGCAGGATTCAACAGAACAAACTCTCATCTACCAAAGTTCATAAAATTTGGATCTTTACGGATCCTCTGCTTGAAAGCTTCACTGCAAATACGAATCTATTCATTTATAGAGACTCAATCAACATTGAAATTAATATGCTTCACAGACCTGATCCCTGAAAGGAAGGGAAGCCAGTGACGGTAAGTTTTTTGCCCATTTCACCGTCATGTACAGTAGTCGGGCGGCGGTTTCACAAAGCGATTGATGTGCGGGTGATGGGCCAATACTCTGGGCTTCAGAAAGATTTGGCGCTGCTGCTGCACTCTTGGTCGATGTGGAATCCGTTTTCTCCGCTTCCACGAATTGTTCAGATGCTGCTTTTACGCAATCAGATTTTATATCCTTCTCTGAAATGTATAATAGATATGACACAGATTAGATTTAAATTAGATTTAAACCAGTCTGTTTACCATCTGCAGTGCTTTGCTGCGCAGGGTGCGAACTGTCCTGGTGTTTGACCTCGTCGTAAATGGTTGAAATCGCGTTGGAAGACGGCCGCATCAGCTGGGTTGAGTGGTTATGCAAGTAGTTGGCCATGAAATGACTGGAGATTCGCTGATTTGCTAAGCTTTCCGGTCCCAACGCCCCAACTGCAGCCGAAACCGTGCTCACGTAGTCGCGAATCAAATGGTCTCCTACCGCATGGCGAAATTCCATCTCCAATGGATTCTGAACGACCGCCGTATTTCTTGGCTGGCGTTCGTTTTGCACGGCTGCAACGGAAACGCAAACGTCATGAAGCGAAGACATACCAACATTAAGTTTTGCTGCGAACATTGTTGTTTTGTCATCGTCATCAAAGGCTAACAGATCTTAAACATCGGAATATCCCAGATTTATGATATCTGACTTTAAAAGTGGTATCTCAAATTGTATAGGGCAAACCTTCCTATTGCTGCATATACCATTTTCCTCATCGCCGGTAGATCTGCCCCGCCTGAGGCCAGCTAATTTTGAACAGCAGGATTGCCCAGATTTGCAACTTTGGACCATTGGAAATGGAGTCACAGACTTATAGTATAGAGAGACTTATAGATAGACTATCTATAGATATTATAGATGGACTTATATTATTAGTCACAGACTTATATTCAGCAGATTTCCTTGCTGCAACTAAGCGGTAGGGAATCATGTTGACTAAATATTGATAACATTGATTTTATACATGGAATGTTTTTCACTAAACGTAAGATTTGCGACTGCATCTGCCGGAATTATGTTAACCTCACGAAACGGTATATAGCGCGAGTATTAGAGAAGTTCAAAGCAGGTCAAGTCCTGTTAGTTTTTTAATATATACAGTGCGCACAGACGGATGTCATATCACTTTATTAACTACAACAGCACATTGTCCACCAACCATGGATCTTCAGGAGCCGTTTTTATATAGGCTCGATAAATATAAGATGGGTTTGGTCCCCGGAAAGAGGACATTAAACATATATGGCTACAAAACCGGGCTTGACGGCATCATGACATGGGTAACATTGTTCTAAATGCATAAAGGAGCATTTAAGCAGGCGAACCGAGCAACTAACATTTAAACACTGACAGTGCGCAGATTCCAAATTAGGTTTGGTGATGTTACGTGCCCTCTGACTGTGTATACTATGTCACCTGACGGAAGGCCTAATGTTTTCTATCATGCAAGGGTGTTCTTTATCAAAGATGTTTTGCTAAGTGAGAAGACGAGAAAAATAGGTACAAGCGTAAAATCTATCAAACTTTTACCGATTTATTTGATTGTTCATTTATTCATAAGTTGCCTTATTCGTTCATTCGTTTGTTTTCATAGTTCGCTACTACTTTAGAGTCGTAATGCAACTGAACGAAAAGACACATGTTATGACCCTGATCTCTGCCAAACCGACAGTCCCTTTTGTCTGGATTCGAAGATGTCATGCCTGTTGCACACTCGAGCCATATGCACATCTTTCCCATGCGTCTGGACATATATTCAAATGTTGTAGATGCATGCTTTTATTTACTTTACAAATTGTGCATTTCGAAGAATAAAGATTTTTTTAGTTTCGCATCGGACACATTTTTTGACTTGTTCTAACCAATTGACTCCTTAAATTTTTGACGTCAAATATTTTGAAACTGTCTTATCATCACTCGTTGCATGGGAAGCGTTTCTTTTCAAATGAGACACCTTAACAATGTCTAAGACCGTACAACCAGGCTTCCTCATTGTATGATGCCCTATGTCCAGGACTGTTCAGTCAGTAGAACGTTGGTCTCAGAACCGAGAGGACTATAGTCCGGGTTTCGGCTGGTCTATTTGCCTTCCTTACTTGTGAGGCGATTGAATGAGCACCACTCCGTTGGAAAAAAAATTGGAGTCTACATGCAATATTTGTCATATAGCTATAATCTCCGCCTTTGAAATTACGCACTCGTGGCTGATGGGACAGCAACTAATATCAACATCTCATCATTAACATCATGAAAAAAATGATCCACAATGGCCCAAGATTATAAAGGTGTTATCAAGGCCAAAATTCCAGCGGTTACGAACTTACCTATTCTAATAATAATACAAAAATAAAAATATTATCAGTGAGTTTAGATCTTCTATTGTCGATTTTAGTCAAAAAGTTGTCATGATCAAGTATGTGTGTCTTTCTTGTATCTCCACGTTACCACTGTTGAATATTTTTGACTCTTCTCTTACCGTCTCTGTTCATCCCCATTTGAAGACACTTCTTCAATCGACAAGCCTGACATTGGTTTCGATGAGTTTTGTCTACCACGCATTCGCCAGTACCGGCCTGGCATCTGAATAGGTTGAATCACGCATTGGGATTAAACGCAGTCATAAGTGGTAGTACCTGTAAATGAGTTTCCGGCGTACGCTGCGTTTGAAGAAACCTGAGCATCCGTTGCAGGCCAAAATACCGTAGTGCTTGCCGGAAGATACGTCTCCGCAGACAGCACAAAGCAGATTTGGCGACGTTCGAATGGTGTTCAGGTTAAGTTTCGACAGACCGACATTTTTGTTGTTTCCAAGTGCAAAACTTGAAAATCCACTAAATGAATCAGCGCTGTCTGGCGGGAACAGGCTGATGCCGGGAGGAATACTGACAGCAAACGGCTGGGCTAAAAACGCTGACGAGAGTAGAGAAGACGATGCGGGCGAAATGAACACTCCAGGTTTTGGAAACGTTCCATGTTCGAAGCTGAGATTGTCAACGGTGAAATACTCGCATTTATCATCTGTTCTATCGACTCTCTGGGAAGCTGAAAACAAAACATATAAGCACAAATAAAGAATATTTGATCGAAAGTCCAGATGGTGTGTAAAAAAGCATAAGTGTATGAAAATTTTAGGAAAAAACTGAAAAGCACCAGCCATATTCCACTCTGCATTTTGCAGCTCTTCAGTAGAGTCGATTGCAATCGAATATATTTCCAGATGTTTTTTTGTCTGTCTCAGGTTATTCTTCGTTAGTTCGGTATAAATAAAGTTCGAACAGCACAATTTCTCAGATTCATTAGGTTTGAATATGACTTTCTGGCTACGAGCGTTGTTCAAACAGGTTGAATCGAGATTCACCTCTCGAGAGCATGGTTGACGCTAAATGTAACCATGTCGTGGAGGTAGAAACAGTTTCTGCGTATTGTACGCTGCATGATCTGGTCAAGCGTACGGTGCCTGATTTACTCTGTCGAAGGGAAGGCAATTTATGGCCAAAATTAAAACGCCGGTATGAAGCGGTTTGAAGCAATCGCTTTGAGCCAACTTTTTTTAAATACATGAATGAAATGCAGCTAAAATTAGATTATTCATACACGACACAATTCACATGCTCTGTCGTTGTTCCTGTTGTTTTATTGTGACATTAAAAGACTAGCAGAACTTAAACAACAGAACAAAGTGAGACCTTTAGAAATAGTATTTCAAGTTCATGTTAGGCAACCATTACTGTTACAGCAAATGTCGTACTGCTCGTCATTAAGAGATCAACCTCAGCGAGGTATTTACATGTTTCTTACTGTCCTCCAACTCGCCTACGGCCAGTTGGTGGCTACCACTTGGGGAAACTTTTGAAATGATCTCCTTTGTAGTGGAGAGCAGTTCTATAAAGCCAAGCTGAGCGCCAGTCTCTATCGAGTTATAGATCAGTGGTGACGAGTGGGTTATTTAACTTGAAGAAGGCCGTTTTGGTTCGTTGTTGAGATCTCTACAGTAGATGATTCTTTTGAAATATCACACGATATTGCCTTGTCACATAAGTGTGTTCCGCTGTTTGTAAATAAACAATTTGTGCTGCCTTTCTGTTTTACTACTAACGCACGCAATGCTCTAAAATAATATCACAGCACAGTGTTTCCATGGCACGTCAGAAGCTGATCCATGGTATTAACATTGCGGAAATTGTTTTGAAATTGTGCTCCGTCTGCAAATATACAAGCAGAGGTTGTGAAAACTGTGAACGCAGCCAACCTCATCGGTCTCACGCAGACACTTTGCCATTTTCTGCAGAAACGATTAAACGAGAGGCTCATGCTCACTGTTCGTTTCGAAACGCGACGTTTGGTCGAATGCCATGATTTGTGCTCAGCGAGTGGCAGCACAACCGAGAAGCCGGGCGGAAACCCTGCTGTTTCGGTGCTAATCCGTTTGTGGAGTCGTTCTACGAAAATGACAGAAATTATCCATAACGTCGTTACCGGTTTCAGACACGAAGCAACGGACGTGGAAATCGAAGCTCAACGGCTAATGGATCATTACTGTAGGCGAGCAACAGGCACCGTTGATCGATCGCTCATTATTGAAAAAAAATTAATGCCGAGCATAAGAATTTCGCCGAAATTCTACTGGCCATAATTATGACCTACGTCTTCGTATTTCTGGCAAATCTCTGTTCCTTTCGTTAGCATGTCAACGTTGACAGTGCATCTTTAAGTCGGAATAGTTCTCGTCGATCAAACCTTTCATGAAAGTCAGATGGCAAGCGGAAGGAATCTGGCATTATGGCAAAATGTCATGAAAACTAATATGTCATCAAAAGGGCCGAAGAGCGAGGACGCATTTATTCGACTCACGTGAAATGCCTGTACAGTATCGGACATTGCCTTCGATACAGCGCTATGAGAAGATGTAGAAGATGATGATGAAAATGAAGAAATGCACCACAGATTTTGTCACTGCTAGCAAAACGACAAGCCACTTAAGTCAACTGTGAATGAGAGTAGTGCCTAGTTAAGAAAGAAAAAGAAAAACCAACATGATTATTGATAAGGAGGTCCAACGGCACCGAGTTGCATTTCAATTTTTCGTTTTTCGATCTGAAACATCACAAACGCGTTTACTTTATCAGTGAAGGACATTTTCTTTAATGTATGACAATCAACGTTCGGATCATCTGCCATACCACCAGAAACACATGTTATGAAATGAAAGGGCCGTTAATTTCGGTATCAAACGGCTATCAGTTGTCCACGAAAACTTTTCAGTAAGAAAAATGCAGTGATTATAACTGGATAGATTTCCGAATCATTAGGCAGCCTGCTTGCTGTACACATGTTATATGAATGAAGACAACGCGTCAGTCACTGAAATATCATAAATCATTACCATATATCAGTGAAATATTGTTTCAGTAGGAACCTTGGCAATCTGGGAAATAATTTCGCTGGAAATGAAAGATGCCCTTGCAAAATATACTCACGCGGTAGGTTTATGCGAGTAATCGATTTAGTTCCAATTAGCAACGGTCGGCGGCTGATTCCTTCATCAAAGCGACTATTAATCGAAATAGTTGTCATTAACTGTTGACGGTGTTTGTGATTCGGCAATGTCATCAACGCTGACCACCAACTTTCAACGATGAACATTGTCCCATATACACGATCAATTTTTTCCCAGTTATCCCCCAGCTTTATCAGCGTGTTTCATTCAGAAGAATTTTGTGTTCGGCAATCTGGAAATTTACAACGATGTTAACTTTTGTTATCAGCGTATCGTAATTATAGCCTGGTTAATTTAAACCTGGTAGATAAATCCTGATAATCAGTAATGTGTTATTAATGATTCCGCCTAAATCAAAACAATGTGACAATGAACAAAATTCCTTAAATACAATGAAAAAGGAAAGAAAATTTGCAACCGTTAGAATGACGAATC